TAGGTGGCTCTCTCAGAGCCAGGGGGTGGACAGAGCATTTTCTCACCGGTGGCCCAGCAGGTCCCTGCGGCCCCAATTCTCCAGGGTGGCCCTGTGACCCCTGCAAAGAAAGGACCCTCTGTGAGTAGATCAGCCCCTCGTTCTGGGCATGTTTGGGGGGAGGGGGGCAGTAGGCAGGTGCCACAGGCTTAAGTTGAGATCTGGGGTAGCTGAGTCTGGTAGGGGTGTCCTTAGAACCCCGGGGAGGGGGAAGTGTGGGGAAGGGGTGCCAGGGTGGTTATGCAGCTCAGCCCTGCACCTGCTCAGCCCAGACTCTGGGCCTACAGCCGTGCCGGGTGCCAGGTCAGGCTGGAACAGGGGAGGGGTGCCGGCCACTCACCGCTTCTCCGGGCAGGCCGGGCTCGCCCTTCTCACCCTTGGGCCCTTGTTCTCCCTGTGGCCGAGGAACAAAGAGTCCAACAGTCAGTGTCACGCCCACCCTCACACCCACCCTCATGTCCACCCTCATGCCCAAGGCTGTCCCTCTGCCTGGGCCGGTCCTCCCACTCCGCCAAACCGGTAACCATCTCCTCATCCTCATCCTCGCCAGCTAGGCCAAGAACCCGAGGCTCCTCCCCGCTCCATGCTGCCGCCTGGGAGCTCTCTGCTCCCCGCTGCCCTGCTGGTGCTGCCATCTGAGCCAGCACCTGGGCCCAGGCCCAGCCTGCAGCCCGCCCAGCCCGGGCCCTCGAGCAGCCGCGGCAGGTGAGTCAGCCTCCGCCCCGAGCGCCTGGCACGCTCCTCTCCCGTGACTCCCGGGCCCGGGCTGCTGGGCTCCTGGGACCTCGCGCCTGCTCCGTCCCCCTTCCCTGGCTTCAATATGCTGTGAACCCCCATGCCGCAGCACCTCCAAATCTCCCTGCCTGCGCTGTGGGACTCAAAAGGCACAGCCTGGGGGCAGGGGCAACCGAAAACCAGAAACTTTCACGCCGCAGACAGACACAGACGCGCCACAGACACGGACACGTGGCCACGGCGACAGGGCCCTGGCACGCCAGCACAAGGGGCGCGCTGCCCCGTGGCAGCGTGACAGCCTCGCTGTTCCTGGACGGTGGCTCCTGCCTCCACCAAGCCAGCCCTGCTCCGGCCGCCCGTGCCCAGGGGTTCCTGTGCGCCGGGAACGCGGGGAGCATGCGCGACAGGAGGGCTGGGCGGGGGCTCAGCGCAGGCTTGGGGCGCGGGCGGGGGAGAGGAGGCCCAAGGTCAGCGTGGGATGAGGCAGGCACAGAGGCGGTCCCTGCCGGCAGCGCCTTGGGGTGCCGGCGGCCCCGGGGTGCGGGTGGGCGCGCGGCCCTGGCGGACGCTGCCTTTCGGCCCTCTGGCGGCTGCTTCCCGAGGCGTGGGGTCCCCCGTGTAAAGTGGACGCCCCATGCCCGGGCTGTCGGGCTGTGTGCTGCTGCTGAGTGCGGTGGCCCCCTCCTCTCAGAGGCCCCCAAAGCTGCCCTCCCGGCGCCTTCCAGCAACTTCTCTAGTTGCCTGCCTGGGCGGCTGCGCTCACAGCCCCTCACCTCCC